GGAAAATAACAGTTTTCCTTTCAGACGTGTTGCAGAATGTTCTGCATTTGCTCATTGTCGGATGTGTTAGTTAGCCATGCCAACTCAGAGTTGATGTGTCAACTTGTTCTGCTGCCTCCAAGTGGCAGAACTAATTCTGCTCCATGGAATTTATTAATTTCATCCGATACTGAAATAAGGCTGAAAATCAAACCTCTCTCGTTTATTATTGTTGACTGACCTAAACGTGTCAGCACAGGCTGTTCTCATACACTGTTTGTAGCTTTGATGCACTATAATTTGTATAAAACCCACGTAATCATTTGGTCTGTAATCCACGTCATCATGACCCATGGGGCAGGTGACGTAGTATAAAGGGACTAAAGACAACTAAAAAAATCTTGTATAGCTCCATCTGTGAACATTTAACACTTGAGAGCTTTTTTTGGTAAAAAAAAAAACACGTCTGAATTTCTAGATAATAGATATAAATATCTATTGACTATTATTTTATTTTGGTATCAGTACCAAAACGTAGGTAACATCGACAATACCCAGCACTATTATATACGGAGCACCTAAGTAAGTCATACTGCTTCCATAGAGCCATACCACGCTAGTTTATTTACAATATAATAAAGAATATTCTAATTATATTATAAGTTACAAATGTAACAAAGCTCATTACTCAGAAGATTTGACCTTACACTTTTTAGGTTTGTCATTGTTTGATCATTGTTGACACCCAGTGTCATACAATAGGACCAAAGACATTAACGAACCCTCTCAGCTATGCAAATTAAATACAGAATATTGACTGTGTAAAATGAAATAGATTGCCTGAAACCAGTATAGGAGCTCTGGAATCAGAGCAATACAGCCTAAATGTTAATAGAAAAAATAAATCTATTTAGCCTTGAATAACTTCAAGGCTTTTTACGAACACCCCATGGATCATCAGGGTGTCCCAGGTGGGACTGTTGCCTTAGGAAATGCTCACTTCCTCCACTGTGGAGAGAATCCCCAGTTGGTTTAAGTCATATACTGTTAGACGCCAAAGAATCCAATTTAACCCATTCCCATACTTCTTTGATTTCCTTTGCTTTGTAAGGTCATTTATCTGCAATCTTAATTTGGAAACTGTGATTTCTTCCCTTTGTGACAAGCCCCCCCCCCACTCAGCTGTCATAAAGGAAGGCAGGTGCCCTTAAAGATGTTGAAAAAATTGAATATAACATGACATCTTCAATTACGAGCAAAATTATGTTGAAAAGGAATTATTGTGTTCTTAATGGGTTGAGCAGAAACACTCCCCAGAGCACACGAGGTGAGCTCTGCTACGGCACTTTAAGTGGATCAGAACAAGCTGCTCCGCGGCAAAGTCTGTGGTAGTTAATGTAGACCACGAATAACTGCTGAAATGTATACTCTCGGAGACCTCGCCAAATGTGCCCCACCGAAGTAGAGCAGCCGGTCCATCAGGAAGGGATTCTTTGATTTCATATTTCATCCCCTCTCATGGCCAGCTCAGTTTCTCAGAGGTGATTTTTCAGGATTATCGCCTAATCCTGTCAGGAAATAGCCATCGGAGGCAATTCCCATCTCTTTTTCCTAAACATTTACCACAAGCTTGATGTGAAAACAGATGGTTTTAGTTAGTTAACGCAAAGAATCCCTGGAAATGTTATTCAGAAGTACATTTTTATAGCAACTTTAGACCATTGATGATATAACCGAGTCATTAGACGATAAGTTGAGCACAATAAACATCTATTTGATGACTGACATTTACTTTATGATGTATTGAATATGTCTTAATATCATTAGTTTGTTTTTATTGAAAATAAAGCAAAAATATTGGGAAAATCTTCAGGTAATGTTGTCTAAACAGTTGTATAATAAAAAAATAATTAAAAAAAATAATGTACTTATGAAGTGATTATTATTATTATTTAGTAATAATAATTCAAGCATGTGCATGAAGCTGTAGTCTCGTTATTTAACACATATCAAATACTCCAAATGTTTGTTTCCCCATGCCTCAAACCTTAGAATAGCCTTTTATCTGTCTGAGGACAATGACATCTGAAGTCGGTCCACCAGGGTTAACCGCTGTAAAAGGAGACAGTGAATATGACATCAAGAGTCGTCTTCTCTTTGTCTTAGCCAGCCTCAAGGTGACATGGGAGTCTGCTCTCATCACCACAGCCCACCATGACACTTATTCTCTGTGGAACTCATTAAGGGGCAAAGGGGACCTCTGCACCGGCAGCATGTTCAACAAACGAAGACATTTTACTAAAACCAAAAAAATTTCCATTTAGTTCCACGAAACACCTGCCACAACCACACACATGCACGGAGTAAATGTTAAGCTGTCCTTCCAAGGTGATCCGGACAAGGCAGCATGAGAGCAACAATACTTCCTGTAAGACTTTCGCTTGGTTGAATTGTGGAAGTGTGGTGGCATCACAAATTGAAAATACAATATTAAAAGGTAGGTGTGAAATGTTTTCAATAATTATAAATAAAAAATATGTTAGATATGGCTGTTCAACATTTCCTTCAACCTTTAAGAATGCGACCCGAAAATTTATCTTTCTGTTCCCAGCTGATTATTTGCTTTAGCGTGACGCTACATGCTAACACTTTAGCATAATGTTGATCAGACTGCTAGTATTAGCGCAAGTATTCTTTACCAATAAAGCTGCTAATAATTGCAAAACATGAAACATTGTAAATACAGTATTGTATTCAATATGGTTGATGTTAGTTTTTTGCAGAAAATGTTAGTTGTATAAACAAAACAAGCACTGAATGGAAGCTCAAAACTTTATGTTATATTATATTGAAAAATGAATGAGGAAAAATCTACCTAAAACTGCCACATTTGTCCTTAAAATATACAGTTGTTTTAAACATAGGAGATGCTAACATATTAGCTTTGAGCAGTATTTACTGAGGACACACGCAGGATATTTGAATGCATACAAATGACTTGACTTGATTTATGTGCATTACCAAGATGAAGGTATTGCTTTACTGTAATTAGGGCATTTTTGAGGTTCACATTGACCTAACTTTAACCTAAACCACAGAGTTTTATGATAGTCCCATTGTCCCAAAGGAGTTGTGGTAGCCTTGAGGCTAACGGGAAATGTTGTTGGCATTTTCATGTGAATGAATTTATAAGTCCTCGCAACGCAAGCTGTATTTCTTACTGCATATATCTAGTACAGTCCTCAAACATTTTGTGGCCACGCTGGTCTTCATTTTCAAACGTAACACTCTGCTTCACCTTCTGACTTTTGTAGCACATAAGGGATACACATGCAAAGAGTAATCCAAAATCTGATGACCCAGCACAGCTAATGCAGTACTCTGCCACGGTGTGGTTCTAACCAAATTATCATCGGTTAATGTTTGTGGACAAGCAAGATCCCAAAGAATTGGTAAATTCCTCGCTATGGGAAATGAATACGGAGAAGCAAACAGCACACACACATAGCAGGACTGGAGCTGGATGTGTAGCTGTTTACAACTGTAAATAATGGAGTGGACTGTAAGTGCAGCGAAGGGGGTCAGAAAGCCGTCACTGAGACGTAGTGTAATGTGTACCTGAACTTGATCTCCGGCTGTCACTTCACTCTACATTAGGAAAAGCTCTAATGGGGTGGAGTGTCAGCCGCTGTGACTTTTCTGCAGACGCCGGATCGCGCGGCTCGTTCCGCAGAGAGCACATTTCCATGGGGGCGCCAAATTAACCGCGCAACCCGCTGAACCTCCCCGACGGCGTGATTGACGTTGACCAATGACACGAAAAAAAAAAATTGCCACGTCAGGGAGAGACAACAAGACCGCAGAGTGGGAACACGGTGTTGTCGCGTTGCCACTTTGAAGAGCACAAGACCACAATCTTGGTCTGTCTTTTCTCGCTCGCATTGTATCATCGTCACGCCACAGAGAAAATGAAAAGGAGGAGGAGGAAAGAAAGAAAGAAGGTGCTAGAAACTCTCTTCTCTTCAGGAGTTATGTTTGCACTGAGTGCAGCATAGTGGGAGCTCGGTAGACAAATACTCTCACATCTTAATTTTTCAATTAGCATGGCTCTTGTTCTCTAAACATATGCAAACACAGCGGGGCGTCTATTAAAATGCAACTCTACCGTTGAGCCTAATTAGAGTAAATTGGTTGGCTTGTATTCGGAGAAATTTGAATGCAGCTCGCTACCCGTGTTTCACCGTGTGTTTCGCCCCAACAAACAAACTGGCACTGGCTGCCTCATGCATATGTTCAGCACAATCACAGCCTTGAGGGAGTGAAACCTCGAGTACGTGTGCACGAGTGAGTGTGCATCTAAACGTGCACCGTGTTGTCTTTTCTTTACAATAATCGGAATCTGACAAATATGTTTAATATACTCTGGAAAACAGTAACTTTTCTATCTCCCATTCGTATTATCCCATATCATCGCATCACTACATCACAAAATCTCTTTATAGTGTGTCCTGATTGCTTAATAATACATTTGTGTTGGGAATTGCAGTTTTACTGTAAGATTTCCTTTTATTATGTGATGCTCTGCACTTGCCCTTGGCTTCATTATCACTTCATAGAGGGAAATGTCTCAGACTAATAAAATGTTGCTGACTTTGTCCTGGCGATGTTGTGATAGGAGCGGATCTACAGTGTTTTTGCCAACGTCATTGGAACATTGGAGAGGCTTACAGTAAAGCAGGCAGCAGGCCAAATGGACCCTGTGCAATGTAAAGGATAATATGTACTGGATGCTCTCCGCTTAGCCGGGGTAAACAGCTGCCTCCACAGCCAGCCAGGACTATGTCGCAGCCCGCTGCCTGAGAACCCAATCCCGAGAGCAGACGGGTGCATGAAGCCACGGAGCCGTGGTTTACACCGTGTTTGTCGGTAACACACGTTGGCCTCGGCTGTGTGCAGACACGCATTTTTGGCTTGAGATAATCAGGTTTGTCATAAGAGGTGCATTTTTTATTTGTGATGCAATGGACCAGATGGCAGATGAAATGACTCTGAGAGCCGACGTGAAAGACAAAGGGAGAGTAAACACTGCCGAGGAGAGCTCCGTGTGGGTGAGAGGAGGTAAGTTAATGGGACTCAAAAACTGAGCATCAGCATTGAGTCATCGTGCTTCTTGTAAATCTCTTGTTGTGATAACGCGCAGACGTCGGTGTCGTCCCTCCTGTTACTGGTGCTGAAGCAATTTCCCAGGTCTTCTTACTGCTTGTGTTGTGCAGGCTACTTGAGAAAGAACATTTTTTTTAAAGTTGCACAGTTTCAGAACAATTTCCCCAGAAAATGACATGTTTTGCAGCGATGAAACAAATGGATTTTGTCAGGCGCTTGCTTACATACGCTCGTTAAATTGTGTGGATGTTTTCTGATCCGTGGTTCTGATGTGTGTGCGTTTTGATTTAAAACATGAAGTGAAATCAGATCCGGTAACCGTGGTATCTAAGAGTGAGCGTGGCTCAGGGAAACACTGGAACAAAACCAAAAAAAAAAGAAGCTTAGTATGCCTGCAGGCCTTATTTCTCTATCAGCTAATGGTCATGGGCACGGACCAGCTGCACTTCTTACTTAATTCATTTGATAACCCGAGGAGCATCACGTGGCCTCTCAGCTCAAACATACGTGCAGACGCCACTGATTTGAAGTCCGTTTTACCTCGTTCTACTTCAAATACTGACCCCTACCTTCTGTACTTGTCCAATCACTGAGAAATGACAAAGTTACAACGAGAGATAAAAGGAAAACCTCAAGCTGACGAAAAGGTGATAACACAGGAGACTATTTTGAACTTTGTTATTTCGTACGTATTACAAAAACAGCTAACAAAATCTTAAAAAACCGCCAATACAGCCGTGAGCAACGTCCATCTGTATCTCTGCTTCAACAATTTAGGCAAGACAAATACAACTTATTCGACTTTCAAAAATGTGTCCAGAGTGTGAATAAATCATCGGGCATTAAATGTTAAATAAAACAGAGAAAAGTACGGTGAATAATTCATTTTGAATAGGTGGTGAAAAAGTAAACAGTCTGCAGCCGGCGCATTCATTCATTAATATCTACTCTAATCAGATGTTAACAAACAGATCTACTCCTGCATACTAATATTTCACAGCCCGACTTCGGCTAATTTGTCTCTTCCGGAACAGACTGTACATTTTGTGGTGTGAACAGTGTAGGTTTTTATATATTTACTAAGTACATAGCTAACAGACGTACTTCTCATCAGCTGTTTCGGAAGCTATGGGAGTAACACTACTGAGGTGCTGGACCTCACGTTTAGACACATCATGACGCTTCACAAGCTCCACTGATCGGCGTCTACAGTGTGTGGTGTCTATTAGTGTAAACATCCACAAGAAACAGAGCTGTTCTCAAAGATCAGGAGGTAATGGACAGTTGTCAATCAATAATTTCCAAGCAATGAATGTTCCTTACTGATTCTGAAACTTTTAAGAGTATCCCCTCCTACTTAGGCCAGTTTCCAGGGTAAACAAATTAGGGCTGACCTTGACCAAAGAAATTCTTAGTCAACTGACACTCAACTCGATTTTGTCGACTAATCTATTGTTTGATTTATTTCCACAAAGAAATATGCAAATGAACAACTTTAAATCTTGTGTTTAGCATAAATGTGTTCATACGTTTCTTGGAAATAAATCCTTCACAATGAAAATGCTACGTAAAGAGGAGGTTCGCCTACGTTGCTCAGAATATACAAGCAGGCAGGAATGCAGCAGAAATACACTAATCACTCCCTCACAGCACCACGAATGAGAAAGTGAAATTCTGAGGGGGGGGGATGGTCTCGACACGAGAGAGATTATGGCCATCAGTGGCCACAAGTGTGAAACCTCTCTCCAGAGCTCTGTGGCAACCGAAACTCTGGAGCCAGAGAAAGGGGAGCAGCGTCCTCGCCACACACCAAGGAGGGCCCGTTTTATTGGGAACTTTATCATCTACGAATAAAAAACGATTTAATTGGAATGTGTCTATAAATTTGATATTGCCATACTTGACAGTTTTTTTAAAATGCTTCGCGTCTGGCCGAACATTGACCCTTAGCTCTGATATAATCACAACACACCACAGCTTGTTGTGATCTATTACTTAAGCGTGTGTTGTATCGTATCAAATTGTATATTCCATTGTTTTTCATCATTTTGTTTCGAGTTCTATTGTTTTGCACTGAATCTTGTCTTTTGAATCTTAGCGTATCTCGTCGTATGGTATCTGTCATTTGCAAGTGCCTTCATCATTTTGAGTATACTGTCGTATTATATTGTGTCGTATCGCATAGTGTTGTGTTGTATCGCGTCGTATCGTGTTGTATCATATTATATGATCTTGTGTTGTATCGTATTCTGTTGTTTCATATTGTTTCGCTTCCTATCATCTTGTGTCGTATTGTAACGTTTAGTGTTCCAAACTTATCAAAATCTGACCAGATAAACCAGTGCATTGCATCAGCCTTTAAACCTCTGCGCTCTTTCTGGCAGTGTAGTGTTTACATTCTCAATCAAATTGTACCTGATGTTTCTTTAATTATTTAACATTCGTTTTCTTGGACAGAAAGGATACAAAGCGAGGCTCCAGTCAGCGACTGGAGGCTCGGTGCCTCTGCAGACACTGAGCCTGGGGAGACTGGTAGAGACACAGACACTCAGCAGCCAAGAGAGTGTGGCAGCTCTTCCTCCCCTCTGTTCTCTTTGAAAACGTACCTGAGGAGGTCTTCCTCCTCAGCCTCCTCCACCGCAGACTCTCTGTCTTCTTCTCAGCAGAGCAACATGGGAGGTCAGTGACGCCAGCGCTTCATCACACCAATCTGACGCCCTCACACACAGCCGCTGAAATGATCAACGGAACAAATCTAGCGTCGAGTCCTCAGTAAAACTGTGATGGAATGAACTTTTTTCATCCAAACATAGCTTTGATGAAATAAACGATGACTAATATGCAGAATAATAACGCCACAGACCACAGACAGAATAGAAAATCTGACAAATTGCAAGCTGTATGCCTCACCATGCTTTGAGAATGCTTAAATACAGTCCATATAATCAATTATGAAAATGTGTGAATAATTTAGAAACTGAAACTACAGCAAAAAAGATAAAGACTAATGCAAAAAAAACAAAAAAGGCAACAAAGTAGACTCGCTACTATAGATGCAGAAGCATAAGTGATGACACCACAGACTGTTTATGTTCTCATGCATTTTTATAAAATGAAATATTAAATTAAGGAAAGTATTATATATCAAAGAAATAGTTCAACATTTTAGGCTTCCTTTCCAAAAGATGAGAAAATTATTGTCAATATAATTTCTGTGCATTAAATATGGAGTTGGAGTCGCAATGTGGTTAGCCTAGCTTAGCATAAAGGGTGGACAACAGGGGAAAACAGCCTAGCTCCTTTAAAAGTTCAGAAATATATCTACCTGCCACTCTAAAGTTCACTGATTAACACTCTGTTGGTTTATTGATACAGAGACTGAAATTTCTGATGAATCACTATTTATTGACGAACAACTTAGTAGAGGCAAGTTACCTTATTTGGGTGGCGCTATCTGCAAGTAAATTTACTTGCAGATAGCGCCACCTCATACAAATCCATCATAATGGCACAAAATGTATTCTACATATTTTCTTTTGCCAGCTGTAGTTTGATCGTGCAGATAAAAAATAAATAAAAATGTATAGAATTGTGCAGCCTTGTAGGAGGAGTCCCTTCACTAAAGTCTTTGCAACACAAGCCATAAGGACTTTCCCCCCCAACATGTTGTCGGTGAGTAACTGTTCATGGTCAGTGTCATTTGATGATCTCATGCTTCATAGCACCCACGGGGGCACCATTTGGCAACGGCTGCTGGGAAGACACGTAGCACATTGTTTCGCTGCAACCACAGGGCAACTTAGAAATGCTCCTGGCAACGTATACAGCAGAGACTTCAGGTAATTGATTATATCTCCAAACAGCTTTCTTGCTTGTCTCTCTGTGTGAGGGATCAAGGCATGATTTCCTAAATTATGCATGTGTAAAGGAAGCAAAGGCTTTTAAAATGTTAGAGGTACAAGTGAAGAGCACCTCAGATGATTTACATCCCAAGATATGGTTTAAACACAATTCATCACACATCATCTCAAATAGGTCATTGCAAACGTGCGGTGAGGAGAGGCCCCTATTTTTATTTTGAAGACAAACAAAAGCTACAATATTTATTGCAACCATATTTTCCAATCTCCCGTACCTGACTGTATGTGTCTCCCTCAGTTGACTGTGCAGGAATTGTCCTGAACTGTCTCTTCTGCCGGTTCTATGACGTGATCGTCATGCTACGTGGCTCCTGCGAGAGAGTCGCCAATCACTGCTTTCCCAACTACAAACAAGTCGTCAGCGCAATGGAGTCTACGCCCGGCAGCAACGATGACTCCTGGGACTGCGGCCTGTTCAGTTCCTGTCACGACGCAGGTGACTGCCTGGAGTTGGCTATGGAGATGTCTGAATTATGCTATCACTAGTGTGGGGGGGACCCCAACAGATCACCGATCATGATAAGAAACTGGTTGGATAAACAAAAGATCAGACTGTTCACGTGTGAAGTGGAGGATTTCAAAGACAATCAAATTGAAGCTGTAACATGCACCATTTGTGATATTAAAATACCAATAAATGTATACATTACCCATCTGTGTATGCATGTGACCTTGTGTTTGTATGTCTCCTGAATGAAATAGACCCCATGTCAGTATATATTCTTAAAGAATGTGTCGTTGATAACTGATCCGCATCCCAAACTGCCCCTTGTAAATAAACATTTCTTCATCTCTGACCTCGTTCTTGGTTGTTACATATCTTGACTGCAAGGATCACCATCTATACTGTAGATGCTGAATGAATGAATGCCTGAACAGCAGGACTAATGGAGTGTCTTGAATTTCAATCGTACACTACCAAATCACCATGCAGTGAAGGAGCACTGTCCTCGCAAACAATGCACTGGCCTAGAGGCCTGCGCTGCTCTGTTGATACACACACTGACACACCAACAAGCACTCCAGCGTCAACATGATAGTCTTTCTGAAGCATGGAGCAAAAAAAAAAGAAGAAATTCTTGAAGCCTGTCCCCTGTTGAGCGTGCCTATTTCAGATCAAGTGCCACTGGAAACACAGGAGCTGTTGGATATGGCATTTGTAGGACACTCGTCCTTGCCGCTCCCCTCGACCTCTCTTCTCAAAGACAGTTCTCTCAAGTGGTAGATCACTGTTTGGATCACTTCAGTCTGAAATATGTCCTTGTCACATAATGGGAAATGGACGCAGGAGCACGGCTGCTATGTCGGTGGGAGAACAGCACACGGGACAACATTGTACTTAAGCATCATTTGTTTCCCAGAGAGGTCAGCGTGAGAGCCGAGGCGCACAACACAGAGTTACTGGATCATCTTCCATTACCAAACATTTGTTTTCTGCCATTACATGTAAAGACCGAGAGAGTAACCTCGCTCTACAAACAAGGAGGTTGTTATTGTGCGGTTGTCAGAAGCACTGCCGCCTCCTGCTGTCACGGTTATACAGCGAGGTAATGGCGAAAGCATGTTGTATGGATCTGATCTGTATGGGGAATTTGATAATTCACTATTACGTGTAAAGCAGATATACCGTGGTCCATTATGTCCACTCTGTAGCTCAGAAATAGTTTATCCTTGAGTGAACTATTACTGTACACTGAGCCCTAGAGTCAATGGAGGAAAGCGTTGCGTTATCGGTATCAGCGCTGCTTCACTTTGATTTCCCTTAATTATCTATTTACCCAATAGCATGTAGCATGTCAGATCTGTTAGCAATTTGTGCGTTTTCGTGAAGAAAGTTCATCGAAATCAACTTCATGAATATGACATGTACTGTATGGCTTTTTTAATTAAAGATCCAGTGCGTAGCAGCAATAAGTATGTTTTCATTAGTGTATAATCACTGTTTTCGTTACCTTAGAATGAGCTGCTTCTATCCACATAGGGAGCGGGTACACCACCATGTTTCTACGGTGGCTACACGGGAAAAGTTTAAGTTGTTCGCAATGTGCTACCTTACCACTAGATGCCACTAAATCCTACACACTGGCCCTTTAAGATTAGGAAATTAAAAAGATGTGTATTCTTGTGCAACTATAAAATTGTTATATGTGTTGTATAATGTTTCAAATGGAACAAGAGTTAACTACCAAATTAATGCAAACAGCTTGTTTTCATATTAAGCTAGCATACTCCTAATTATGTGAACTTGTTCAGGGCGTTAAGCTAAAACCCCATATAATTAGCTCAACAAGCAGAGATGGACAAAGATACATCAAAATGTATTTTGATACAAAATACAAAATACCCCTCAAATAAATGTATCAAAATAAAATACAAAATACTGGTGCCAGAAAATGTAACAAAATACAATGCATGTATTTTGTATTTAAAATACAGGAAATACTTTTTTCTGGATTTTCCGTTTTGTCACAATTTGGTATAGCAGAGCATTCAGGTTTGGGCTATAATGTACACAAAGCTCTGGTGAAGCCCACACAAAGGACGAACAGTCACAGAATGTCAGTGTAACTAAGCACATCTGTGCTTGTTGATGGTCCTTCTTGAACATCATCTTGCTGAGACATGTTGTCCACCTGGCCAACTGTAAAATGTATGAAATAATAAAACAAAGAATACTTTCATAATATCCCTTTTAAATAAAATAAATTGGATATTTAATGTTTTTTATTAACAAATGGACATCTACTGTCATAGCCTGGCTAACTGTGAACTATATTATCTGCCAGTAATTGATATGGCATTGATATGATATGGCATTGATTGATATGGCATTATGACATTCACATTGAGAAGATACAGCATAACTTGTAATACAGTGCAAGATTAGATGGTCAGACGTCTCTTGATAAGGTTATCATGAATACAAGCTCCCAATCTCCCTCTTCCTATATAGCTAGCTACTCGACTGATGAGTTAACTTGCTAAACACTGGCTATGCATTAGCCTAGACAGCATGCTAGCGTCATTAGCATGTTAGCATCGAGCTTGATATTATAACCATCACCATGTATATACGATAGGCTATGTAGCCAAACCCAGACATCAATTATACATCAAGCTAGTTGACGTCTGTCACACTCAGATAAAATATTTACCTTGACAGACAATCCGTTAAACTTGAAGATCTGAAGACTGAACTCGTGAACTGTTTTTTGATTTGTGGAGAAAGTATTTTGAGTATTTTAAATACAAAATTACTCCTCTCTAAAGTATTTTGTTACAAATTACATTCGATTTTTATCGGCCCTATCAAATACACATTACAAAATACTCAAAAGTAATTGAAATACGTATTTCAAATACAAGTAATAGAAATACTGCCCATCTCTGTCAACAAGTAAATATATGTTGGCAAAACATACTGAAGCTGACCAGTAAACATCATGTGTTCACTAATGACTAACAGTTGGCGCGACGATCACCACTTGTTTGTAATGTCAAGCTTCGAAAGAAGCAAAATGCTCCATTGCATCAACCTCAGCAATTGCATCATTCTCAAAACATCTGAAAAACTCCTGTCAGTGTAACACAACCTATACAGTCTAAATAAAAACCAACATATTGTGAGCTTCAAAAAGCTGTTATTTGCTGCAGGGCTGACATTGACCGTCAGTGGACAAGGACACACAACCTGTTATAAGAAACACAAAACCCAGAATCTTCTGGTACTTTGACAGTACTGTTTTTTCCTAAATATTATTACATTTAATAAAGTCTCCAATCCAAGATGTCTGCAACTAACTGTTGAACATGTTAGATCTTGAGCATGTGAAATGAAGGAAATTGATTCTCTTTGTTTGATAAAATGTTGAGTTTCCACTACTGACAGCAGCACCTGGAGGATTAAAGGTAAACAATGGTCTTGATTATGCTACATTACTGTTCTTCATAATTGTGTCCTGTATGCCCAAGTGGTAACCATGAATATGTATATATTAACATCCTGATGACATGACATATTGGTCAATATTATCTTTCTAATAGCTAAGTCTTAGTCATATGTAGTAGTTTGCATGTGCAGAATTTTCTAATACAGGATGAGTTTTTTGGCGAGTAACATTCTAACCAGGCCGGAGCAGCTGCAGAGATAATAACCCAAATCCTCTGTCTCATAATTACAAAACTTTGATCAGTTGTGTTGAAAGTTGCAGTTTGGTCACACAGCACAAACAGGGATTGGTCTGCATTCATCAGGAAATCCTCAACAACTCTGAGCTGAGGCTGTTTCTTTTGTTATTTTATGAAAAACAGATTTAGACATTTTGTTCAAATTCTCTTGGAATCAGTTGCTCTTGAAGGGAAAAGCAAAGGGTTGAGATACAAACATGATATATACTTATATGTCCCTACTGAAGAATGTTTTTAGATGAAATCAGTCCTCTTGCAGTGTTTGGCTCTAAACTGTGACCACGCTAGACCTCCTGAAAGCTGCACAGAAGCTCAGGCTTCAGGCACAGACCACAAAAAAATAAATAAATGTAGATACGGCACATGCTGTGCAAAATTGTACATTGCGGGTTACATCTACAGGGAACACCGCTTGCGACCAATTTTCTCATTACCTGCTGTAGCACAATTACAAAGCTGAGTGCTCGAGCTGATACTGCCCCATAAAACCTATCGGGGGTCCTTTGTGGTTTTTCGAACATAAAGTGTGTCTGCATAAACAGATGCCAGTTTTAAAGCGAAAACATCTGCACGTCTTAAACTCGCTGGATCTCTTTCAAATTACCTGATGGCGTTTCTTTTTTTAATAACATCCAAATGGCCTGTCTTTCACTGGCCCGGGCTCAGATGCGGCCCCATCACAGGCCGGGGCGGATGTGGACAAGGTCAGGTGGTTTTCACTGCCGCACAACACCCGCGTGCACCTTAACGGCTGCTCAGCGGATAGTGTTTAAGCCATTAGCTTGCGAGCTAGTTTGCGGCTTAACTCAAAACACTTGTGCAGAGGGTCAAAAAAGAAACTGTAACACTGAAATGATTAGATGTGTTGTTGCTAGCGAGCACACTTCAAAGCGCTGCTCCTCCGCTGTGTTGTGTTTGGTGACACAAGACTCGCATTAACAAAGTGATCTAATCGCATGCCGCTTCGCCGTGTTTACATGCATCTCTGCTCGCTAATCGGAAATGAGGTTTCTTCAGAGTTCAGGCCCTGATCGCTTCATTAGTGTGAGGCTGCTCTTCCTTCACAGCACACGGCACTAATTCCGTCTCCCTTCAGACACAGCGCTGCAGCCCAGAGTGGCCTCCCGAGGAAGCAGCCCCATTAAATATTAATGCCATGTGTTTAGAGAATTTTTATTTCAAACAGCGGGTTTGTCAGCATCTTATGTAGCGTTCCTCAAGATTAAGTCCATGTGGAAAATGGGGTCCCGAAGCTTCGGGTAAGCATTGTGCCTTCAGAATAATTTAAGCCTGTTTTT